AAGAAGAAGAAGAAGAAGAAGAAGAAGAAGAAGAAGAAGAAGAAGAAGAAGAAGAAGAAGAAGAAGAAGAAGAAGAAGAAGAAGAAGAAAGAAAGAAAGAAAGAAAGAAAGAAATTAGGGTAAAATGACTATATTTCCAGGAAACAAAAATTTAAGAGGTTCCCAACAGTCTTCCCTAACGATAAGAAGGGAAAGGATCCCAGATGGGAGGCTGAAAAGGAAGGAATAGGAAGCAAAGAAACCCCAAGAAATGAGATGGCTCCAGGGGACAAGGGCCTTGCCACCAAGTCTGAAGACCCAAGTTTGATCCCTAGGACCCAATGGTAGAGGGGACCAAGTCCTACAATTACGTTCTCTCCCTCCTTTCTCTGTCACACACACACACACACACACACACACACACACACACACACACACACCCCACACACACACACTAAATATAAGACATACAAAACACATGAAAAATAAAAGGTAGATTTTAGAAATAAGGTCTATGAGGAAACCACTGTGCCCTGAGGCAAACTCACCAGTGTCTGCTAAGATCTCTAACTCCCCTGAGGCAGCAAATCTGACAGGGTCTTCCTAACACAAACCCACTGACATGAGCCTTTGCACAACCCTAGAACTAGCGTCTACTGAGGCAGCACAGAGGAGCACAGCTTTTCCGCTCACAGCTTGAACAGGAGCCCGGGCCCCTGTGACAGCCTGTCCTCCAGCACAGAATTGCTGGCAGGACACTGAGCCTGCTGCCCTGGGTCTACTTCCCGACACAGCTGGGGAGCTGAGGAGGCTGTCCACCCCAGGTCTTCTATCTAAGGGTTGCTGAAATCACAGGGGTGTGGCACTGCAGGCCACCCTGTTCAGGGAGGGGTGAGGACAAAGCTCAACTGTTCTGATCACTCTTCCCATGTCAGGGTGCTGCATACTCAGTACATAGACAACTCTTCCCATGTCAGAGTGCTGCACGCTCAGTACAATTTTTTCAACACCTTTTTAGAAAAAACAAAGGGTGTGTGTGTGTGTGTGTGTGTGTGTGTATCTGGATCAGTGGATGAAAGCTGTACAAGTGGAAAGACCAGGGTTTGAATCCCCAGGATCTGCAGTGTCTGTATTCCTGAGGCTGCTAACAGGAGATGGGAGGCAAAACCAAAAGACTC